AAAAAGGGCTGGGGAGCTGGGAGTGTAGCATTTGGTTGAGTGATTACCAAGCATACAAGAAGCCCTGAGTTGATTCCCAGTACCCTGTATGAGACATGGCAGCACATCCCTAAAATCTCAGCACCTGGGAAGGTAGAGGCAAGATAATCAGAAGTTCAAGGTCATCTTTGGTTATATAGTTGAGTTCCAGCCTGGACTACACCAGAACCTGTCTAAATAAACAAACCAACCAACCGACAAAGAGGGGAGGCAGGGACATGGCACTGGGATGTAACTGCTGAGTAGTAGAGTGCTTTGTGAGAGGCCTTGGATTTGTCTCCAGAAACATGAGAAACAGAAACAAAAATGCAGCCAGGAGCTGAGGAGAAGGCTTGGAGGTTGAGAGATCACTTGCTGTTCTTGCAGAAGACCAGGGCTTAGTGCCCAGCACCTACATGGCAGCTCACAACTGTCTCTAACTCTAGTTCCTGGGGATTCAATGCCATCTTCTGGACTCGTTGGGGATACTGCACACACATGGCATACACACATATATGCAAGCAAAACACTTAGACACATAAATACATAAAAAAATGAAATCACTAAGTTTAAAAAAATAGAACCAGGCATGATGGTTCACACCTGAAATGCCAGGTGGAAATAGAATTACTGAGTTTCAGTCCAGCAGCCCCCACTATATGTAGTGTAAGATGGTGTGCTGGTTATTTTTTGTAAATTTGGCATAAAGTGAAATCACCTGGGCAGAAACCCCCAATGCCGCCATCAGACTGGTCTATGGACATGCCTGTGAGACATTTTCTTAGCTAATGATTGATGTGGAAGAGTCAAACCCACTGTGGACAGTACCACTCCTAAGCAGGTAGTCCAGTGTCATATAAGAAAGCAAGCTGGACAAGCCATGGAGAACAAGCCAGGAAGCAGCTCCTGTTTCTCCACGATCTCTGCTTTAGTTCCTATTCTAGCTTTTCTCAATAAGTCGCCAACCTGTAAGATGTAACAAACCCTTTGCTCTCCAAGCTGCTTTCATTCATAATGTTTTATCAAAGCAATATGAAAGTAAACTAGCCTAGGTAAGTGCCTCAAAAATAAATGGATAGATAGATAGACAGACAGACAGACAAACAGATAAATAATACTAACATAATGTATTACTGGGTCAATATATTGCTTCCCAAATTTGCTTGACTACAAAATGTTTTTATTGATGGCCCAAACATATAGTAAATATTTTGACAGTTTTATCAAAATATAGAATTGATGGGGCTGGAGAGATGGCTCAGAGGTTAAGAGCACTGACTGCTCTTCTAGAGGTCCTGAGTTCAATTCCCAGCAACCACATGGTGGCTCACAACCATCTATAATGAGATCTGGTGCCCTCTTCTGGCCTGCAGTCATACATGCTGTATACATAATAAATAAATACATCTTTAAAAAAAAAAACTTACTTTAAAAAAAATATATAGAATTGAAAAACACATAACATGGAATCTTAGTTCTTACTCTTTTACTTTAACATTTTTTGAAAAACGTTTCAATATTGTATACTGAAAAAAATTACTTTCAGAAAAAATTAGGTAGCAGGAAATTAGTAAATATTCTCACTTTTTCATCAGTATCTCTGCCTAAAAACTTTATTTCAACAATTAAAAGACATTGAGATAATTGTTTTTCTAGTTCTAATTCTGTCACTGATTTTTCAGTTTTAGTGGTGGATAAATGAATAAAAATATATTCAATAGTGAAAGTGTAAAATCTAATATGGAGCTTCATAGCTTAAGAATGGCTACTGTAACTGTACAGAAATTCATTGAGATGTATAGACTTTGGGCAGGGCTAATTTTGGTGTGTGATGTTTATTTGCAAGTTTTTTAATAATGAATTTTATAAAATTAAAATAATTCTAATAAATTTTTAAAAAATTAAACGATAGGGGAGGTAGACATTCCTATAATCCCAATACTTGAGAAGCTGAGGTAGGAGATCAGTTGTGGTGGTTTGAATAAAAATGGCCCCCACAGACTCATAGAGAGTGGCACTATGAGGGGATGTGGCCCTGTTGGATTAGGTGTGGCTTTATTGGAGGAGGTGTGTCACTAGGGGGTGGGCTTTGGAGGTCTCAGAAGCCCAAGGTAGGCCCACTGGCTCCCAGTCTCTTCCTGTTGCCTGTGGATCAAGATGCAGAACTCTCAGCTCCTTCTCCAGCACCATGCCTGCCTGCATGCCACCATGTGTCCTGCCATGATGATAGAATGGACTAAATTGTAATAAGAGTTGTCATGGTCAGGGTGTTTCTGCACAGCAATAAAACCCTAACTAAGACATAAGTTCTCAGCCCGAGATACATCAAATCCTGGGAAAGGAAGGAAACAAACCAATACAGAAGAAAAAATAACCTCTCCTCTTTTTAACTTTCAGATTTTAACTTAAAGGAAATGAGTTGAAAGGCAGGTCTTAGAATGTTTCACATACTGTGTGCTAGCAGTATTTATTCTTCATGATCAGTGACACTCAGTTTAAGGGCTGTCCTACACTAGCAGCCACTTTAACAATCTCCTCCTTCAAAGGCTTCCTTCATGAACTAGATCTGATTTCTTTTTTCTGTTTTACACTCTTCTTCCTGGAACAAGATGAGGAAATAACCTGCAACCAGAATGTCAGGTACTTGACTATGTACACAACTCATCACTCAAACACATTTAATTAGCTGGGAGTGGTGGCAGAGTCCATTAATCCCAGCACCTGGGAGATATGAGGAGGATCAGGAGTTCAAGGTTATTCCCAGCTACATAGTGAGTTCAAGACCAACCAGGGCTACAAGAGATCCAGTCTCAAAATAAAAGATAAGAAAGAAAACAGTTAAATACCAAATATAACACACTAGTAATTAAGTATCATGAAAATTCACTACTTACAACTCCAAACTAATTTATATGTTTTGCAAAACCAATCTATTAATAGTAAAAGTTAATTGATTATGAAGTCAGCTCTACTCCGATAATTTCAATATAGGTGTTTCTGTTTTGATGTTCTAGAATCCAAACTCTAAACCTGCTCTTCGTTTTCAGAAGGTGAAATAATTAAACATAAGGGAAAAAACACACTGAGTACAATCCACCTCTTATTCAGTTCTTTCAAGTGAAAGATGAATGTTTATAATATCTCTCTTTAGAAAGTGTTCTTTCTTGGGAGTCAGGCATGGTCTGGTGGTTCATGCCTAAAATCTCAGCACTCATGAGGCTGAAGGAGAGCTATGATCTAAGCCAGTCTGAGGAACAACATGAGACAGTATCTCTAAAAATGCTCTTTCTTCTGGTGGTAGCGTCATCAATTTTAACAGGAAAGGTAAGAATATAAGTCTTTTTATGGACTATTAAGGGCTCATTCCCATTTTAGAATATTATCAATCATGCCACAATTCTCACAGTAACACTTTCAAATAATTTTTTTTTCTTTTGGTTTTTTGAGACAGGGTTTCTCTGTGTAGCTTTGGAGCCTGTCCTGGAACTCTGTAGACTAGGCTGGCCCGGCTTCAAATAACAATCTTAAAACATGGAATAAAAGGGGCCTAACTTTAGCCGGGTGGTGGTGGTGGTGGTGGTGGCGGCAGCAGCAGCAGCTCACTGATCTATGCAAGTTCAAGGCCAGCCTGGTCTACAGAGCGAGTTCCCGGACAGCCAGGGCTACACAGAGAAACCCTGTCTCGAAAAACCAAAACAGGAAAAAAGAAAAAAAAGAGACAGTCTAACTTTATTTTTTAATGGTTCTAGTAAAGACATATGTTAAACAGGTGCACATGCATGACGTGTGATCACTGGCCAGGGCTCTCGCCGTGTCTCTTCCACAAGATCAGCTAGGAGCCCACTTCATCAAGTTACTGATTTAGTAACGGATCCTCTTGAGAGACTTAAGAGTGGCAGGAAGTTAGTGTGTAATATCACTGTCAGAGTTTTAGCTTGAGTTCTATTAGGCCGGCCTAAAATAAAGTGTCTAGAATTAAGTATTTTTTAAGATGCAAGATAAATTCAAGAAATGCTATCAGCAAGGTGTCATTCACATTTTTAATCACAGCACTTGGGAGACTGAGGCAGGACCCTAAATTCCAGGCCAACCTAGACTACCAAGTGGGCCCCGGTTACAAAAAGAAAAAAAGGGGGTGGGTGTGTGAGAAAGGCTGGGGGTGTGGCTAGGGGACAGAGCACTCGCCTAGCAAGCTGACTTTATGAGTTTAACCCCCAGGAGCACACAGCATGTCCACAGGTTGCCTCGGTCACCTGGTGGACCCTCCTGTGGCCATCCCTCCATACTTCCTCGGTCGGCACTTTCAGCCCCGCGCTTCCTCTAATGGAGACATTTATCTAGCCTCTGAGCTCCGTGCAAAGGTGCCCCTGGAGCGCCCCGACACCCTTCCAGAACACCGCCCCCCTCGCCAGCCCCTCTGGCAGCCTCTGACTCACCAGGGCCCCACAATCTCCTGGGCGGGCTCCTCATCCCCAGCATCCTAACTCCGGCCGCCCCCTCAACCCAGGAATCCCCATCTTGGACTCCCTGCCCCACAGACGCCCTTCTTCCCCAGACACCGGATCCCAGCTCTCCTCGGGACGCTGGCTCTCCTCAGGACGCCCTCCCTACAGGCCACCCCTCTCCTCAGGACCCCCGCCCCAAGGCCGCTCGCTGACTCGCGCAAGTCCACCCCTGCCTTCACGGCGCGGGCCCCGCGGCCGCCACACGCCCCCATCGCGGCCCTTACCGCACATGGTGCTGGTCGCGGGGGCGAGGGCCGAGCGGTCGGGCGCGCGAGAGAGCTTCGGAAGCGAGGACGAGCTCGGGCCGGGGTGGCGGCGACGAGGCGGACTCCGGGATGCGACAGCTCGGACACGACTGCTGGACTCGCGGCTCGGCCCTTAACTGCCGCCCCGCCCCCCGGGCCACGCGCGCCGCCGCGGCTCTCCCATTGGGCCGCGTCCGCGCCGCTCACGCGCAGGCCTCGCCCATGCCCTGTGCGCGCAGGCGCGGAGCTGCGGGTAGCGGAGACGTGGCAGCCGCTGGTCCGGCATCCGGCTCGGGTTCCTGGAGCCGCCCGCCGAGGGCGAGCCGTGCCACGGAGGCGGAGTGGGAGAAAGGGACTGTTTACAGAACAGTTTGCATCCCGCGAGGAAGAGAGGGAGAGAAAAGACAGCCGGAGGGAGGAAGGGAGAGCCTGGGGCAGACGCCTCTGTGTGCCGCAGGAACGGTGGCCGGAACTGGGGGAATGGCACAGAGGTGCGCCAGCCTGCAGGCCGCCCTCGGGCTGCCTTTCCGGTGAGGACCTGAGCTGTAGGCATGGTGCTCGGCGCCCCACCCCTTGCCTTCTTCTGTTCTATGAGTAGGATACCGCGGCTCAGCGGTCCCAGCACTGCGCCTGGGTTCAGAAAACTGTGGGCGGCGTCCGACTGCCCCCCTTAGAGGCCTGGAGGGAGTCTGAAGACACGGTGCACCCGCGATCGCTCATGCCATCATAAATGAACTCTCCATTGCCAAGAGTGGAGACGAGTTCCTGAGAAGTTAGCGGACCGGCGTTTGCTTCAGGAAGGTTTAAATAGTACCTTCGGGGCAAATGTAGCTGGCTATCAGCTCTCCGTTGATAGCTCTAAAGGAAATGAATAGAGCCAGCAGAAGCTGGTGCGCTGACCCCTGTTGAGTACTCTCAGCCTGTACCCCCTTCCTACCGCACGTTCGAGCCCTGAGGGCCCTCTGACCGCACCAGCATTCAAACCTGCACATCTGGGTTACTCTGCAGAGTCCCACATCGCTGCCACTTTTAATGCTTTTTGTCTTCCCCAGAAGGCTTTAACTTCTCATCCTTTGATCTGCCTCAAACAATAGGCTTCTGTGTTAATGGCTTTTTCGTCGCTCCCCACTAAGTTCTAAGTTCCCTTATGATGTAGTGGGTTTTCGTACAACCAACACCTGCCTAGTATAGACCCTAGCAAGAGGTGGCGAATCAAAACTGTTCTGGTGGCTGAAAAGATGGCTCAGGGCATAAACACACTCGAAAGCCTGAGCCCCATCCCTGGGCCCTACAAAGGTGTCTTCTCACTACACACACACACACACACACACACACACACACACACACACACATTCATGTGACCGGCTCTACCCCAAAACTGAATAAATAAATGTTAAAGAATGTTTTTGAATGAGTGATAAAAGCCAGAGGCACAGAATTGACCGCCAGCTGGTTATAAGTGCAAGGAGGCAAAGGCTTTTCAGTATTTCATCACCTACCTCAAACAGAGGCTAGAAAATGCAGTCAAGTTATTTCTCACCTAAAAATGCTTCATTGTTTCCAAGCCATTAAACATGTCCCTAGATGATCTTGGCAGTTAACACAGTGGACTGTTTGTTAATGGACCGTGCATTTTTTTAGAAATGGACCCCAGATAGACACCATACCCTAAAGACCAGCTGGGAGACGACTAGCGTGATACTGCCCAAGAGTCCAGGAGTGGCTTTGCATCCCTTGTTTTGCGGGCAGTAAACCTGTTGATACCACAAAGAAAATGGCAACAGTAGTAGCGAAGTGTTTCAACTACGGCCCAGCCGTTTCAGCCTGCTACTGGCTCCGTCTCTTATCCAGCTCCATTCTACTGCTGTCTTGGTAGGTGCTCGGCACCGCTGAAAGGAAACTTTAAAGGCCAATGTTCTCCAGCCCAGCCTTGAACAAGCTCACTAAACCACCGCGACAAAGAACGCTTTGTAACCATGTGCCAGCCGAGACACTGCCCCTCCTCTGTGTAGCCGCCCTGCCTTCTCTGGGCCTGTAAAAATAAAGCCTAGAGGAGAAAATAAACGATGTGTGAAGGAAAGAAGCCATCTGAGTCTAATTTGAACATCTGAGACCATGGAAAGGATTTTTTTTCTCCTGACCAAACAGCACCGAACAAATTGAAGGAAGGAAGAGGATGGGAGAAAGGAGGGAGGGTCTTTGTCTTAGGGCTTCTATTGCTGCAATAAAACTCCATGACCAAGAGGCAAGTTGGGGAAGAAAGGGTTTAATTGGCTTACATTCCCACATCACAGTCCATCACTGAAGGAAGTCAGGACAGGAACTCAAACAGCAAGATCCTGGAGGCAGGAGCTGACGCAGAGGCCATGGAGGGGGGCTGCTTACTGGTTTGCTCCTCCTGGCTTGCTCAGCCTGCTTTCTTACAGAACCCAGAACCACCAGCCCAGGGGTGGCCCCACCCACAATGGGCTGGGCCCTCCCCATCAACCATTAATTTAAAAAATGCCTCACAGCTGGATCTTATAGAGGCCTTTTCTTCATTGAGGTTCCCTCCCTTCAGATAACATTTCAAGCTGACCTAGGACGAGCCAGCACAGTGCATTCATGGAGTCTACTTCCCTGTCCACGTGCTCAGGCCCCTTAGAGCTGGTGGTGCCCTGCTGTGGCCCTACAGTGCAGTCTGACAGGCTGGAGGTCACCAGAGCTCCAGGTCACTGAGTCTAAAGAAAGGGGGTCCGTGAGGTAGCTTAGTTGGTAAAGGCACGTGCTACCAAGCCCGATGACCTGAGTTCTATCCCCAGGATCCACATGGTGGAAGGAGAGAACTGACTCCCCAAGCTTAATCCCCGGTCTTCCTTACTAGTGCCTTGGCACACACCTGTGCACACACACACACACACACACATAAATATAAAAATAATGTTTCAGATGAGCCATCATGTAAGTAGCTCTCAGATTTTTAACCTTCCTCATCTGTGATTTTTTGTTACCCCTTATCCAAATTCCAATAAAGAGCACTAAAAGTACTAGTGTGTAGAATGAAAACACAGGTGATAGGATACATATGTTTGAGATTTCAGGAAATGGTGTAGAAAATCTCACCCAGTGGGTAAAAAGGAGGGTGGTGAACAGCAAAGGAAAAACAGAAACTCCGCCTGAGGCCTGTGAGAAGGAAAACACTAAGACTGGAACTCAGGCTGAGGTCAAGTGTCAGAGTTTATGGTCATCCCTGACAGTCAAGAAAGCTCCAGGCCAGCCTGAGCCCCGTCTCAAAACACACCAGGCTGGAGAGCCAACTCAGAGATTTGGAGTGCTTACT